TGGGGGGGGTGCCCCAGGTGACAATGGTGTCTTCCACTGGCTTGATTGATGTTTGCTTTCAGGGTCCTAAAAATAATAGCACCATGTCTTATCACTAGTGATGGCCTTGGATAAAAAGTCTGGGTCACTTCCGAGCTGTTCTTTCAAAGCACAGCATGTTTCCGTTCGATGCTCTTCTTCCTGGTCAGTCAGAACCGGCGGCACAAATTTCGCAGCGACCCTTCCCATTCCCAAATCTTCCGTTAAAATTCGCTGAACCGAGCTCCAAGAGAGTCCAGATAACTTCCCCATCTCTTCAATGGTCCGTCATCGGTCTTCAAGCACAAGTACATGGATTTTGTCAACATTTTCATCCATTCAGGAACTTGTCAGATGTCCAGAATGAGGTTTGTCATCCACTGACATTCCACCTTTCTTGAAAGGAGAAACATCACCCGTGCACTTGAGTTTTTCCCATAGTGCTGTAATTGTAAGCTGTGTTCCACGTCACAACAGTTTCTGCGGCATTTTTCCCAAGCAGGAAACAAAATTTCACAGACACACCCTGTTCTCTTAAATCGGCCATCATAAAAAACGGGGTCCGAGGGAAATTGATTTTATCGAAAAATTCACTGTGACCAGAGAGAACCTTCCCAGGAGACGCCACTGGGTGCACTGACTCAGAGCAAGTTGCTTGATGCTCACCTAGCGGGGAAAAATGCATACTATGTTTTGCCGTTTGGGGGGGTACCCCTCGTATATATCTGAGAATCTGATATGTACAAGATGGAAACTGGTCATCAAAACAACAAGAAAGGCTGGTGGCGTGGTGGGCTACACATCGAGCTGCTGGACACAAGGTCAACAGTTCAAATCCATAGAAAAAAGATGCTGGTCGATGGTGTTAGATGCTATGGAGTTGGTGCCAACTGAGATCAACACCCTATACAAAGAGCAAAACACGGCCCAGTCCTGTGCAGTGTGAGCTAATTGTTAGTGGAAAGAATAGTACCTGGCAGAGTGGATGCTCAATTAACCATGTTGGAATCAAACACTTACTGAGCACTGACTACAATGCTAGTGTTCTCCAGACGGAAGTCAACTCCTTTGACCTTCGGAACAACCTTCTGATGTGGTAATACAAATATCCCTATTTTCCAAACGAGGACTCAGAAGCACAGAGAGGTGAGTTACCTGCTTGAAGTAACAAAGCCCTCACTCGGTCCCCAGCAGCTGTTTGAAGGTGGAACTGAGGAAACCACTCAGTCACCCAGGTATACTGTCCCCACAGGGGCCTTACACCCTTCTCTCTCCCATTGTCACCCACACAGGCTGCACCCTAAAGGACTTCCAAGAAAGGGAACTGACCAATCAGGTCACACACACTTGCAAAACCTTTACACACACACACACACTCAAACGCATGCATATTTCTCGGGTTTGTGTCCAAGGTGTGAGCAGCTGCATGGATGGACAAAGGGAGCCCTGGTAGCTTACTGGGTTTATGCACTGAGCAGCTAACCTCTAAGTCAGCAGTTTGAAACCACCAGCTGCTTTTCGGGAGAAAGTGGAGGCTGTTAAGAGTTAGTCTCGGAAACGCACCGGCCCGTTCTACTGTGTTCAATAGTCACCCTGAGTAGGAACAGACTCAGGGCAGGGAGTGTGATTTTGTTGTCCTTTGTGGCTGGATGACAGTGGTTACAGCACATGCCCCTGAATAATCTCATCGACCAGGGGGCCCTCCTGCCTATGGGAAGAGGCCCTCTGGCCTCCACCTCTTTGTAACTTGATGCCCCCTGCCAAGCCACTTCTCCACACACTCTTCCTTCTCTGTGGCCTGTCCCCATTCCAGAGAAGCCCCGTGGAGGTCTCTGCTTCAAATCTGGCCCAAAGGAGGTGACAGGTTGGTGACTAAAGGAGTAAGTGAAAGAGAGAAGCTAGCACCCCCACCCTCACAA